TTAGTGTGAACCTATGCTAACCATCATAGACCGTGATAGTGTGGATCTCACATCACTTGAGGTGACTTGATGAGAACATCAAGCATTTAAGTGGGAGATATTGTAGTACACCGAATCCCACATTGACATTCATGGAGACTTATGAGTGAGTCTAATATATACTACTAACTTGAGTTTTTGAAGATTTGTGAATCTTAACTCGAAAAGTTGTTAGGTCAGTGATGAGTTTCAGTTCATGCCGTTTCATTCTCCATCTCTTTGCCATTTTGGTTCCTAAACTACGGAGGCGGTAATGGTTTAGTCCTTACCATTGGCAATCCAATTTGGTCCTTAATGTTTCATTTCCGTAACACTCAAGGTCCTTGGAAAATTCAAGTTCCTTACCAATTGCATTTGTAGTTGGTACAATCAATTAAAAAGATGTTGCGACTTTCATGCTCTTTTATTCTCATTAATATATAGAACATATATCAACAAATAAATAGAGAAATAAAATGATATATCAAAATTTATGGCAATAATTAAAGGATAAGAAATGAACAAATAGTCTGAAAATGTAATGGTGAGAAATAGGCTGGGCATTTGAAACCAAACCAACGGGTTACTTGAAAATTGAACCGAAAAATGAATTTGGTTTGGTTTCAATGGTTTTTATTTTTATTTTTTTGATTTTAATGTTAACCGAATAAATTTTGGTTTGGTTTCGGTTGAACCTTTTAAAAATCAAAAATCAAAATTAAGTCCCTTGAAAATCAAAAATAAGATAAATATGACAAAATATAACAAAATATAATAAAATATGTGATAAAATATAATCTATTATTAAAAAAGTAATTGATTAATATTTATTTATCAAAAACTGAAATCGAATCGATTTTATTGGTAACCAAACCGATTGATTTTGTGAAAATTTTAGTTCGATTTCAATTCTTAAAATTAAAGAAAAAATTTTCAATTATTTTAAAACTGATTTTGGTTTTAACCGAAACCGGTTTTGCCCACCCCTAGTGAGAAATCAATTGAGGATATCATGCAGTAAGAGACATAGTAGAATTTTTTTTTTTTTAATCTTAGTTGCATAATAAAATACAACTCTCTTTCGTCTCTTACTTCACCTTACCTGCATTTTATGCAATTCAAACTCAAATCTAACAGAGTGGAAATATTATATAGGAAGATAGGTTTATTAATTTAAACTGATCTTATCAAGAAATCACCAATGTCAGATCTATTGCAAATTTGTTCTAGTTAAGAGTTAAGTGTAACTGTCAATCAAATTAAAAAGTAATATTTTGGATAACCTTGCTGTTATTTTTATTTACCGACGTAGAATAGATGGGGACATTACAGGCCACAGGAGAAATTTAGTATAGCCTATCACGTCGGTGATTATATTATTCACCGACGTGAATTACCTTCAAATTTTCATTTTCTGCTAGGAAAACATGTCAACGCAATATACATCGGTGATTTATTTTTCAGCAACATAGTCCTACCTTCCTGATTGTCAAGCCGGTATTCATTGATGAGTTTGATCATTTGACCATTTAGCATTTTAATGCACGGCAATAACTTTCATTATTACTCACGTACGTAACTATGTACTTGCTGATAATACCTTGCTGAAACTGCGCCCTTTAGTAGTGGCGAGCAACAGTAGCTGTTGATTTTCGTGTAGTGGAGGTTAATTAAGTTGCTGTTGACATGGATTAAAGGGCCGATGGACTGTATTAAGTGTTTGTAAATGTTTTCCTTGTGGGTTTCAGTTAGTTCATTAATCTTTCGGTATCATGTCAATTTGGTGGAAGGTTGTATTTCCGCCTGTGGCTATTATTTATAGTTGTTTAAATCTAGTTTTTTTATAGGTTGTTTCAGTAATTAAAATTTTAAGTTTTTATTTTAAAAGTTTTAAGTTTAAACATTAAGGCATTATGTAGAAGGATTTCAGAAGAGGACGATTATATTTTGTTGTGTAGCACATAATTTGCTACGCTAAAA